GCACATTTTTTTAAAATTATTTCAAATATTTCGGCTTTTTTCCTTTTTAGATTTAAAATTTGCTTTTTACTTTTATACGTATTTGTTAGAATTTAAATTTGTTAATTTAAATTTCATCCTTGCAAATGGCGCAAAGATATAAAAACAAATATGGTTTTAAATTTTAAATTTTAATTAAATTCAATTTATTCTCACGAAAATAATATATATATAAACTACAAACGAAATAAAATAGAATAATGTAAATTAGGAAATAACCTTCACAAAGAATGAGTAATTAATTAAGACACAATAACAGGCCGAATAAATACTAATTCAGAAGTCAAAAAACAAAAATCAGCGTTATATTTTCAAAATTTTTCACAGGAGTAGTTTCGATGGTTTTACCGAACCACCATCTCAGCTGCAAAAACCGCAAATGAAGAAGATAGGAAATAGTGATTAGATAAAATAAGAAAGCCTGGACAAGAATAAGCAAGTGACGCCATCTGTTGGTGAAACCAGAACTAAAACATAATTTCTTTAAGGCCAAAGGCAAAGATGGATTGGAATTAGGATCGTTAACTAGAACAGAAAGATTTTTTTGAATGGGAAATACCTCTAGAAAATCCATTTCCCCAATGGAAGATGTTTTTTGAATAATTTTGGCAGCAGAAAAATTGAAAGTGTGATTTTCGGACAAACAATGTTCAGCAACAGAAGATTTCTGTGTTTCCTTTTTTCTAACATATGCCTCATGTTCCTTGACGCGAAATTTTAAGGCTCTCTTAGTTTGGCCAATGTAAATTAAACCACACTGGCAAGGAATCCTATAAATTCCTATAAATCCTTTCAACAATGAATTCTATTCATCCTGCTATTCAGTTCACTTTTGAACTTGAGAAGTTATAAATGTATATTATACTTGAGAAGTTATAAATACATATAATACTTGAATATATGAACTTCAGAAGTTATAAATACATATAATATCGAGAATTGTACAATTCTCTTCCGTTTCTCGACATTCTGATCACACGTAACACATCCAACTACAGTACTACGGTTTACCGTAAACCTTCATCGGTTTGCCTTCCACCACACTTTAAATCATGTCATCCGACTTAACAAAAGTTAGCTTCATTTTTTTCGCCCTTGATGAAGAACTAAATTATTTAAAAGCAATAGCTATTGACAGGGGCTTTTCACCCAACATTATTAATCAAGCAGTTAAAAAATTATCATCTCAACGCACTAAAAGGCACACTCTTGTTTTAGAAGATTATAAAAATTCTGTTGTCATTCCCTTCTTTCCATCAATTAGCTATATAGTTTGCACATATTGTGCAAAAATTTCACTTTGGATTTGTTTATTCTCCCATCAATAAAATTCCGAGTTCCATACTCAAGGACCCCATTCCGGATATGAATTCTTGGGGTATTTATAGGATTCCTTGCCAGTGTGGTTTAATTTACATTGGTCAAACTAAGAGAGCCTTATAATTTCGCGTCAAGGAACATGAGGCAGATGTTAGAAAAAAGGAAACACAGAAGTCTTCTGTTGCTCAATATTGTTGGTCCGGAAATCACAATTTCAATTTTTCTGCTGCCAAATTTATTCAAAAAACATCTTCCAATGGAGGAACATTTAGCTATTTTACGAACTTAAAATAAATTTCGTGTTTCAATAAATCGATTAAATACGAATTTATTTAACAAAGGAAGCTTAACACCTTTTCAACGGGATTTTTTCTAATAAAAGTTTATTTTTTAAAAATATACAGTTTATTTTTCTTTGACTTTTGGACACGTTAAACTTTCATCCTTGAGACTGCTTTTACAAAAAGAATTTTGAAAAAATGATAATATTTTGCATTAATTTTTTTTTAATAAAGCAAGCTTCCGAGTACACTTCTCACATCTCACATCTTTAAAGATGTGATTTTGGCAACAATTTTCCTATCTTATTGTTGTTGATAGCTTTTTGATGAAATCGCATCATTTTGAATAGTTTCATTCTTTTAGAAATATGGGTTTGGCAACAATTTTTCATCGTATTTCTTATGTCACTTTTTTTAAGAGATTGGCATATTTCATGGTCGTTTATATATATATGATACATTTTTATTGATTTTTTATGAAGTTCTGCAGAGTAAAATTTTATATTTTTTGAGTTGCTTTCATGTTATTTTTTGCTTATCTCACTGTTTGTAAGACATTGAAAAGTTTTGCATGATTTTTTTTCTTCAACGGAAAGTTGGTTAATTTTTTTATTAGGATAATTAGTATTTGTATTAAGGGATATAGCTTATTTCATTGTAATTTTTTTCTCTTGAAAATATAAGATAAAATATCATTAATTATACTTTGCTTTTCAGAATTTTTTGTTTTTTGTATTCTTTTATGTTATTTATTGCTCATTTCACTGTTTTTAAGATATTGAAAAGTTTTGAGTGATTTTTTTAGGAAACAAAGTTCTTAACCTCCTTTATACCATTTGATTTCTTAAGATTTCGCAAAGGGAGGTTGGTTAATTTATTTATTAGGATAATTAATATTTGTATTAAGGGATATTGCTATTTTCATTGCAATTTTGTTATACGTAATAACTTTTTTTTATGAAGTTGTTCTGCAGAGTAAAATTCTACGCAGTTTTTAAATTTAACGTTTGGTGTTCCCTTCAACCATTTTTCCGGTACATTTAAAAGCCAGACGAAGGCTGGCAGCGAAGCTGCTAGTATTATAATATTATTATAGTGAATTATTATTAATATAATATTGTGATGCCATTCATAGAATATTAAAGTATTTATGTAAGTGGACAATTGGAGAAAAATAAATAAGCTGAGAAATTAATTCGTCCTTTTATTATTAATGTAACCTGCCTTTTAATGGATGTTTCCAAAACGGTTGGATGATTCTTTTTTTCTTCTACCATTGGGAATTTAAATGTCCTATTAGTAAGTAAAAGAATAGATAAATACTATCATTCCCAATAAAGAAGTTTTATGTCATATGAATTTGTTGCATTTTACCAACTTTTTTTACAAACGTTATATACGAAAATTATATTATATATACAATATGTTACAAGATATATCATTACGAATTACATAAGATTAAAAAGAAGGTTCTTTGGAACTGTATAAATTAATACTGAATAAAAATTTTAAAAATATTTTTACCAATTTTTCTTCAGTGATACTGTACGCAATGTAGTCTATATATTAAATTCTCTGTGTTGCTGCCCGGCTGGGAAAGTAGCTAGTAACTCTGACTGCCGTATCGAAGGCTCTGGGTTCGAATCCTCGAGAAGGCATGGATGTAAATTATATGTATGTAAGTATAATCAATTACTTTAGAAAATCATCTAAAAAATAAGTTCGACAGCTGTATTTTATGTACATTTTAATATAAATAAACAGCATTTTTAGCATTTCTTCTTATGGATTATGCATTCAGGCAAACAATACATTACATGCTCCCCCACACACATATATAATTTAAACATATATGAAGGAAAATTAACTGAAAACGGAAAAGTTTTATTGCGTCTGTTATTTTTCGATTACTCGGTGTGTATAAATATGTAGATAGATAGATATAGATATAGATAAGGATATAAATATAGATATAGTTATATATAGTTTTATATATATATATCCTCCTTTACGTGCTTTCAGGAATGAACAAAATATAGTTTGAATGTATAAACTCTGAGAAGAAAGGAAGGAAAAAATAATCAAATTAAAATTGAGAGATTAGGGACTGTTGCGAATGAATGTTTTATCTTTTTTTATTTTACTTATTATTTTCATTTTACCTTTTTGTCTTATCTTACTTTATCTTATATTTTATCTTACTTTATCTTGCCTTTATATATAGATATATAAACTTCTAGTACGGAAGTAAAGAATTAAAAAAAAAAAAAACAGAAGAATAAACCGCGTGAAATATATTGGAGAAATGAGGAATATAATTAGTTTATAGTATCCCCTTCACGGCTGTAGTTCCATGCACCATATTCACTAAACTCTAATAGGCTGCTTTTTTAAGTCTTTGGAATGATCATTATGTGAAAAACAAAACGTCCAATGACAAATTGACTTTTGCGAAAAATAAGGAAAAAACTAAAGCAAATCAGGCACCTATATGCTTCGAATTTTAAACAAATTAAAAATTTTAACTAAATTATAAAATGAAACACTAAATTCTTTTTTTTTATTTCAGAAATTGTGCAATCGTAAATTTATAAATGTTTTTCTGAGAGAACATTTTAATAATGTTAAGAAATTATCAACTCTCACAAAAATATTTCTAAAATATTGTGAATTTAAATTAAAGCTCATCACTATATAATTCAATAGAGCACTTAATGTTCCATAAAACCCTGTTGTAACTTCATTACATTGTTTTCCTGTTTTTCAAACATTAAACATATTTTGCTTGCTTTACACATAGCACGTTTCATTTATGATGTTTAGCTTCAAAGACACTCTTACACAATCGTTTCAATTTGAGAATTATTAGAAATCTTTACGAAACTCGTGAAGATATCATTACGAATTACATAAGAGAGATATACCATTACGAATATTACATTATATGATATATTTACGTACGAATTATGTACGAAAATCATATTATATATACAATATGTTACAAGATATATCATTACGAATTACATAAGATTAAAAAGAAGGTTCTTTGGAATTGTATAAATTAATAATGAATAAAAATTTTAAAAACATTTTACCATTTTTTCTTCAGTGATACTGTACGCAATGTAATCTATATATTAAATTCTCTGTGTTGTTGCCCAGCTGGGAAAGTAGCTAGTAACTCTGACTGCCGTATCGAAGGCTCTGAGTTCGAATCCTCGAGAAGGCATGGATGTAAATTATCTGTCCCTTCATAGTAGGTAACGGTGGCCCACCTATTCTATCATTTCTGGCCTTCTTTCGGTCAATTAGTGTTTTGGTACTTTTATATGCAATATTATGTATAAAAATTAAACTTACCGAAAAAAACTGGAGAATTCTTCTTCTTCGTATTATCATCCATATACGTTAGTCCAACAGCATAGTAAGCCAAATTACCAAAACCTTTCAGAAAGCTGCCCAGGAAGAGGAACAGAACGGCAGCCATTGTGGGTGGGCGATCATCACTTTCACAGAATTCTTCTTTAACGTCACTGGTGCACAGTTCTGGACCTGTTTTACCATGCACACTGACAGATGTCAAATCCTTAGCAGTACCATAAATGAAGTAAGGGAGAGCTGAAACGAAACAGCACAACGCTGAAAGTAACATTCCTAAAGCTACTATTCTTGGTCTGTGAAATTTCCCTCCGAAATACCCAACCAAAGGTCCTAAAATCAAAGGAGAGATTTCGTCAGCCATCATTATAGTTCCACTAACTTTAGTCTTAAACGCAAATCTTTTTTCTAGAGTTGTTATTGCTGATACGAGGTATGTATAGTATGTGCCTTGAAGAACACCAATAATCGAATATAGCGCAAGGTAAACTTCAGATGTTGCCCATTTTTGCAGCCACTTTGGTCTGAAAATACCGATTCCACAAACAGTGTCTTCGTCACACTCTGCTGTTTCTGCTATCTCATTAAACACCTGATCCTTTAGCTCAATAGGAGAAGCACTTACATAATCACTTTCGGGATATTCAGCAGCAGGTTTTAGTTCTATTTCATTATTTAATTTAGTTTCATTTTCATCAAAGTGCGGTTCAGGGTATGTTTCTTCCTTCCCATTTAACAACTGCTCTTCACAAGTCTGAAGGTTGGATTCTTTGAAATCTGCAAGCCCTTCTTCAATCTGCTTTAATTTCCTGGTATCCTCATCTCCTCTACTGTTGCATGAAACTTCACTATATCCTTCATTCGACGGCAGGTCATTTTTTTCGACATTCTCTGTGTTTTTGTCACTCAAACCACACTGTACCTGAGTCGTAGCCTCTTCTAAAACATCTTTTACTATCCCAACACTTAATTTTCTAACATCATCGATATCAGAAGAAATCTTTCCTTCAGCATCTGAAACTCTATTCCCTAACTGGTCATTCTTTTGCTCCTCAGTTTGATCAGCTGCTAAAGCTACATTATCTTTAGTTAGCCTTTCTGGTAAAGAGTTAACTCCATCAAGTTTTTCATCCAGAATATTGTTTAACTGTGTTTCTGGAATGTTGATTTTGTTACATATTTCGGTATTATTATTGCACCCTTCTTCATCTATAAGTAAATCTGCTGAATTTCTTAAAATTAACCCATTTTCAGGCGTTTTATCATCTTGCAACGAAGTCTCATTCATTATTGGCTTTTGACTGATATTTCCTAAAATATTTACTTCTATACGAGATGCTTCGTTTTCCGGATATAATTCTGAATCAGGATCTATAGCAGTTTGCGCAGAACTAGTCTCAAATAATTTCTGTGTATCTTCGAGAGAATGCAGACTTTCGGTAGATATTTTGCAGTGCTCATTGGGAGGTGTTTCATCACAACATGGTGCAGTATTTTTAGATTCACCCTCGACAGTCTTTGGGGAATTGTTTAATTCTCCATTAACTTCACTATGGTTAACAGCATTCAGATCTGCCTCGCTTTGTTTTGGAAAGTTATTCTTTAAATCTCCAGCTTCTGGACAGTCATTCTTCGCTAAATCTTCATTGGGTGGTTTATCCGTGACAGATTCCGCACTATTGCTATCCCAACCAAGGAAAGCTTTAATCCGATCGCTATATTCACGGAGAGATTCCAGATGTAGGGAATCTCGCGGATCTCCACTAATTTCCTCTTTTGCTTCACCGAAGTCAAATTCTGAGTGACTGCGGCGAGTTTCGTCACGGTCAGTCGTTATTACACCAGTCAAATTATCCTGTTTAGTTTCTCCCGGCGATTCGACTTTTGTTTCTTCATCGAGATGCGCTTCGCTGTCCGCTTTAACGTTCATTTCGGACATTATAATATGCACTCATCAACCCGTATGATTATGTCTCTTAAAAGAAGGAGCAAATACAGTTAAGTGCACTTTGAACTGTGATTGCTCTTTCTTTCCCAAATTTGGTTACTATCAGATATTGCTTCATGACGTTATATATTTATAAACACAAGAGAGAAAACGTTTTCAGGGAATTTTTTTTTTTTTTTTTTTGATTTCATTGATAAATCGAAAATATTTGCAGAAGAAGGTTTTGAAAGCTCTTTTAAATGCTTGAATATCTTCATTTTAAATCTTATAAATTTAAGACGATGAGATTTCATACAAATATTTGTACGTTAGTTTTTTAGTAAACTAAAACTAGCATGCTTGTTTTTCGGGGCTTATATTACAATCATATGTATTATGGATGTTAAAAAAATGTGATAATCTGGTTTAATTTAGTAAAAAATAGATATATGATTAATTTACTTATTAATTAGATGAAATAACTGATGTACTATGCATTGTATATGCAACATTTAATAGAAGCGATAAAAGATCTAAAATCTTACTAAAACTAAGTTTATAGCTGTTGCACTTAATAATATTTAAAAGTAGGTTTTTTTTTTTTTTTTTTTTTTTTTTTTTTTTTTTGAAAAACATAAATTTAAACTTAACTCAGTAATTTCTCTACCCATCGTGAGCAAATTTTATAAATTATGCCATAATTTGCATAAAAGTAGAAAGTAGGTTAGGATGGTAAGAATTCAACAAATAAAATATATTTCAACCCTTTTCCGTTATTTTACTCGTATTTTTCATTTATTAAGGGTTCACATTTGTAATTGTACGATTCGTTTTCTAATTTCATTTTACCGTGCTGTTATTTTTGTATGCATATATTGATTACTTTTAGGTTTACATTTCTTTAATTGAATTTTGATTTACATTTTCGGATTAGCTGACATTTTTAATGCAGAAGTTAGTGCAGGGGTAATTAACAACATAGAAAAAATTATAAAAATGACAATATATAAAATATTATTAATATATAATAATAATATATATATTAGTATATATTTCATACATAATTTTAGTAATAATGATTTATAAATATATGTTATAATTATATATATATACTTTAATTATAATTTTAATAATAATAATTTTAAATATATTTATATATATAATATATTATATAGATATATATTTTAATATATAATTTTACCAATATATATATATATATATATATATTTCGTCTCAAATGTTCGTCAAAGATATATATTATATATACCTTTATATTATATTTTAATAATAACAAAATAATATGTAATAATATATTGTTTTATTATTATTAAAAGATACATAATAAATATTATATATTATATTAAATTATTATTATATTATATATTAAAATAGTTACTAAAACGTAAATTTATTCTAAGCGTTTAAAAAGTCGTAAGTTATAATAACAACTACAAAAATAAATTCATGCAGGAAACCTTTTGACAAATTTAGTCAGTTTTCCAATGTTGTTTCCTGTTAATTTAATTAAACTATAACTTCCCTTGTTTGCTCCTTTCTTACGCAGTTAAAGCAATTAGTCTCTTTAGGTTTAAGATTCTAAGTATACGGATCAATGTCCTATTATTTTTTCTGAAAGTATCTCAAATTTCTTTGCTACTTTAGCAGTCAGTTAGATTTTTTTTACTGTAAGATGCTGTAACAGCTTTAAATATTACTAAAATCTTGTAGTTTAAAATAAATAATTTAATTAGATGAACATTAAGGTATTTGTGAATGGCAGTATTTGAAACCGGGCTCGAGTGCTACGTGCGACTCTCGCACGAAGAATGTAATTTATTTTTAAATGTTAGAATTCGTTTTTTTTTTCCCTTGTTTTGTATGTCGCCATTTTGAGTGCTAAATAAAGTTTTTTCTGTGTTCCATCATTGGAGTTACTTCATATTGCCAAAGAAGTATCACAATGCCTTCATTTCTACTAATTGTCTTTAAGCTCAGCAGAAAATTACATCAAAAAGAGCAATTGTGAAAGCTATGTTGCTTTTTTTTAATCTTAACAGGTTGCCTATACACTACACAACGTTCTTTTTGTTTCATGACATAACTGTTTGCTCCTGACAGCTCAGAAAGTTCCTCTTCTGCTCCTGACAGTTTCTGTTTTACTCCTGATTGCCCAGAGATAGCTGTCATGAGATCATTTTCATTTTACAGAGCATGCTTTTGTCAACAGAATATTTAGCGCTTATGTATTTCAGATGAAAATATAAAGATTTATAGTAGTTGCTTTCGTATAAGTGCATAGTTGTGTTATGTTGAATAGTACTGAACTACGAAAGCTATAATTGCATTAAAATATATTTATTATAAAATGCAAAATCAAATAATTATACTAAACTTATAGTCTAAAGAAAATATTTCTATTATAAATGCAAAAGCAGATCGGTACTATTCGGTTTCGAGGGCCGTAAAAAATCGCCAAACTATTGTTGATGCCAATGCTGCCAAAAATAATTGCGGCAACCCTAATAATTGCGGCAAGAAAGGAAGTATAATATCTAGATAGTATAACTAGCTCTAATCTTAGATAGTTTGATGTTTTTTTTTTTTAATTTAGATGAAAGGTTAATTTCATATAATACTTTTTTATTATTATAATTTATATGAAAAAGGCTAAACATGACTGAATGGAAGCATAAGAGTAAATAACTATTTCAGATCATTATTATAATTTATATCAAAATTGCTAAGCATAACTGAATGGATGCCTGCATCGCTATTTCGGTGCCGACTTATCGCTAAAGCATAATTTCATCTCATTGGTTGTTCAAACGTAATTTTCTATAATGAATGATGCCTTTTCTTTGAAAATATTCAGAATCGGAATTAAGAAGTGCAGAATCGCTCACTTATTTGTTTGCCGCATTTTACAAGGTTAAAAACAATTGGACTTTTGTCGATTTTATTTTACTTTTTAAATGAAAATAGGTCGATGTGTACATAGATAAAGGGGATGCGCAGTGCCATTTTTGTGCAATTCTGGGATTTTTTTTTTTTTTTTTTTTTTAAGTGAAAATAGCTCGATGTGCACATGGATACCGAGTATGTGCAATTCTTAAAAACGCGTCAAGCAGTGAGTGATTCTGCACTTTACCCAAAATTCTATTGCCGACTTTTCATCATGGGCAATTCCCAAATTGTCAAATCCATAGGATATCAAAAAAGGATTTGATTTAAAAATTAAACTAGTATTTCAATGGCGTCTTAAGAAATATAGAACTATATAAACTTAACGCAATCTGAAACCAGCGCGTACGCTAGATTTGGCGCACTGTTAAATGGGCGCGTTTGCTAGATTTGGCGCTTTTGCGCATACATTTTCGCTGCAATTTTTTTACGGCCCTCAAAACAGAAGAGTACCTAATAACTTATAGTCTGAAGAAAATATATTTATTATAAAATGCAAAATCAGATTATGATACTAAACTTATAGTCTAAAGAAAATATATTTATTATAAAATGCAAAATCAAATAATTATACTAAACTTATAGTCTAAAGAAAATATTTTTATTATAAAATGCAAAAGCAGATCATTATACAAAATCTATGAAATAATAATAATTATGAATTTTATTAAAGAAGATGCTTAAATCTTCAAATATAATGGCTTAACTAAAAATCATGAAAAAAAAGCTTTCCTTGCACTTTTTACACAGGTGCCCCTAGTGTCTAGACAATACACTTCTTTCACTACTTTCATTTACAGCTATCTAAATTTCGTTTGTACGTAATCCTTTCTTTCGAATTCTAACTAAATCTCTATATGTTTCTTCATGTTTAAAAGGCAAGTTTCAGTTAATTTTTCTTGAGCTTTAACCAAGGGATTAGAATAGATGGAACAAGCATGACATCACAAAAATTAAGCAAAGAAAATGTAAACAACGTGATGTCACGACTTATCATGGCTGATATACAGCGTGCGGATAAGCCTTCGAAACATATTGTTAAATAAAATTATTCTGAAAGCAAATATAAGCGTCTGCAGGATCAGAAAAGTATCTTTAGGCATAATTTGCATAAAATACCATTGAGACTTTCACTGGTCGTTCAGGTTTTACCTGAAAGTGTTATTTGCAATCCTTGTGATTTTTCTACAGACTCAGTAGAAAATCAATTATGTTAAGTATTTAAATTATAACAGCAGACTTATAAACGTCCATTGATGTGTACCTAATATATAGACAACTCCGATTAGAATGTAAACAAAACGTACTATAAGTCCGCCTAATGGCAGTGAGTAGTAGTATATTATAAGTAGTGCGTCATACCGTGACGTGCATGGCTTTGTTTCCTTTTTTCCTTTGCATAGAATATATAGAGGAGGCTTACTCCATTTATTTAGACCTCCGGGATTGTAATATATATCTGGGATTATAAGGTATTTCTCCCGCCTTCTTAGCATGCCTTCGTGTGTAGCGGTCAGCACGCTCGACGCGTATTCGAGAGCTCCGTGGTTCGAGGGCGCATTGCTAATTCTTCACGTCTTCCTGCTTCATTCTACAGTGGCGCCCGAACTACAAAAAGGGGGTGGATGATGGTACTCCACCACAAAAATATGGCGATTGGGTCCCCTAATTACCCAGTCACCCTTTAAAGAGGGGAATATATGAAGCATTTATCCCGCCTTCTTGGCATGCTTTCTTGGTGTAGTGGTCAGCAGGCTCGGCGCGTATTCGAGAGGTCCGTGGTTCGAGTCCCGGCGAGGGCATTACTCATTTTTCATCTCTCCTGCTTCGAAATGGCCTAATGACTCTACAAGATGTATTATTTAGTTTTGGCATGTATTTGTATGTAATATAAAGTTTATGATTTTCGTTTTTCGATCAGAATGTATTTGCGAGATCAAAATATATTTGCAAGATCAAAATGTATTTGCAAGACACGAAAATAATGAGGTCTCATTTCGACGATTCTCAGGCGTCGAATTGCATTTCCCTAACTTGTAGAATACACAAGAAAAGTCTTTCATAAAAATCTTTGACTGTCTTCACT